TCGATCAACCTCATAGAGTTTTGCTGCACCTCTAAGGCTTAGCTTTGGGTCTTTTTGAAGAGCTTCGATAGCCAGAAGGACCCTACTTTCATATGAAGGCAAGGTCATAATGTGTTGTGGAGGAATTCAATATTTTGTTGGAGAATGACGCGTTGCGGTGGAAAGTGGCTCACTCGGTGGTGTGGCGCACTCGGTGGTGGATTACGTTAGGCATATAACTATAGATAGCTTATATAAGATTATTATTAAGTTAGGTAAGTAAGTCTAATCTCGCTTAACTAGATTAATATTAATCTAGGTAAGTATTACTTATTAGGATTACTATTAAGCTAATTGATTAATAAAGAGCTAGATAGATATATATATTATAGTCTTTACTTAAGAGTAAATAGCTAGATCTTTAGTAATTAATCTAAGTATTTATTTAAATAAGAAGCCTTTAAAGCTTCTTAACGGACTGTTATTAAATCTTTTACTACTCGTTAAACCTAGCTTACCTCCTAAACAATAGCAAACCTTAGGATCCTACCTAGGCTCCGTTATAGTCATCTCCCGCCTTATTATCATGGTTGAGATATTCCGGACACTCTTCTACCTCCCTCCTCGTGCTTTCGGCTCTACGTGGGCCGATAACGTGTCCCATTTCGGTTAGCAGCATGTCAGGGCTGTCAGGGAGATGGTCAGTGGAAATCCGGACCCCGGATTGCTGACTACGACTTTGGGGGACAGCGTGGGTGTCCCAGAGAAGAGTCGTCTTCGCAAATGGGAGATTGGGGGCTTTAGCGACATTGAAGATGCTAAGTCCTATCATATGAGCATCGTTAGCCTTGAAACGATCATGGACGAGTTCCCAGAGGCTTTCGAAGTGGCCAAACCGCTTTGTCTGAACATCAGGAGGCTTCTCTTCCCGTTGGATAAAGACGAAAGGATGATGATCGGAACACCGGCTGGAGATCCAGAAAGACTTTATCCTGCAATTGATCTTGCCTACGACGAATCGATCAACCAACTCGAGTGAATTGAGTGGCTGTTCTTTGGCGACACACATACAACGGCTATCAGAGGCCTGTGTTCTGGCCCAAATGGGCAGACACTAAAGACAAAAGTGAATATTCAAGTTGGGATTGCATCGTCTAACCACCGCTACGAGGACTGAGATTTGCGCTATAAACTTATTTATTTACCCACCGCAATTATCTTGAACTGTCCGCGACGCCAGTCTTGGGATTGTACGTTGTAGTTTCAACCTCTATTGATCAATTTTCTCAGTTCAGCCCTTGGTAGTCTTATTACATACAGATGTAGTAGTCGTTATGCGTGGACGTAGCTTAACCATGCCGGTATTGGTTCGCTTTTTTCAACAGCTAGTTCGCACGAGGCGTCGTCCGACGCTGCAAATGGCATTTTAGGTTAACAATGGCCGGGACACGTTTCCATGTGTGCCATCCGCACAGGGACGGCGAATTCAGAATCTCGCGGTACACAAAGAGCCGAGGATTGGAATGGTCTGGGCGCTCTTCCACCTATAGGCCGAGCGAAGGCGTGGCCCGAGCTCACCGCGCTGGGAACCCTTCGAGGCCTGAAACGAAAACAGGCGCCTTTTCGATTGGGCATACGCTTCATGACTACATCGGCTCGTTATCAGATCCTATTAAGATCCTGCCCGACCGTTTGGCTCGTCGTCCTTCGATTCTACCACTGTCTTGAGGAACCCTGGCCTCCAAGGGCGTCTCATAGACTTGCGTTTCTGTTGCGGCGGTTCAAGAGCTGCTACAATCGCCTGTACTTGGTCAGGAAATCTTCTCCTCGCCCAAGGTAGGAAAACCCACCTCGTCAAACACGCCCTTGAGACGGTATTGCGAAACAATATCGCATTCCATATAATTCACAGCCCCAAGCCTCCGTGCCATGGCTTCTCCTAGTGCCTCGGAACCGTTAAGATCGTGTAAATTCATTCGTTTCATGGAGGGGCTTTCCTCGTCGACGTCGCATTTGATTCCGACAATGATGAAAGGGACCCCCGGACAATGTTGCTGGATCTCGGGGACCCATTTTATCTCGACGCTGTCATAAGTAGAGGGCAGTCCAATGCGGGCAAATACCAGGAAGACGTCGGTTTTCGCATAATCGAGGGGGCGTAGGCGGTCGTAGTCCTCTTGCCCGTCGGTATTGATGAGCCCGAGGGTGTAAGGGTCATCGCCGATCCTTTGGGGATGTTAGCCAAAGCTCCACTGCAATCAGACCAATGAGAGGTTGTTGGGTAATCTCCCACATAACAGTAACAGCATAGTTGTCAAACACAGTGGGCACGTATTCCGTGGGGAACTTGTTGGTGGTGTATGAAGTCAATGTCTCGGTCTTCTTTGTATCATGGTCTCCGACAACGACAAGTCTGCAGCCAATAGTTAGCACATCTCATGCGCGATATTACGGAGGGGGGGATTGTCTTGCTTCACTGTTCCGACAACACGTTTGCGGCTCACGTAACTGGGGTCTGGTGCAGCTTTCTGTTCCGCTGTTCGGGCTCTGCTTCCTTGAATCTGGAGGGTATCTGTCGGAGCCAAGGCCATTGCCTGTCCACTCAAACGCCGTGCATGGTTCATCCCCGTCTGATTTGTTCGTTCTTGTTGTGCTTTGGCCACTATCGGTGACGGTGTTGCCCCCTGCTGACTTGGCGGGATCTGCTGCGACTCCCTCCGAAGGAGCGCTCCAAAGGTGAGTCCGGGTCCAAAGCTGTCGATGTCATCTAGATTTATAGGGAGTCGAAAGACGGCAACAACTGAGATGTCGTTCAGCGACAACATGCTCCAGGCGTGAGAACGAGCCGCCGAACTGGTGAAAGACATGTCAGTGTCGTTGGCTTCCACGCGCGTGTACACTCGGGATGCCTCAAGGATGATCTCGAAATCACGGCGGCATATCGAAGATGCATGTGATTCCGAGTCTGAAGAAGGCGTCTTGCTCGTCGACGGATTAGACCCAGAGGGTCCTTCGGAACCAAAGGGACTTATTCCCGACATCCTGAGCGACTTGACTGTGGATTGACTATCGTGGAATCTGACCGACTTCTCCTCGATTTCAGGGCTACCATCAAAATGCTGTATGCGTGCCGCAAACCCTTCATCCCGTTGGAGAATCTGGTCGACAGCTGCGTTCAACCTCTCTCGTCCTTCAAGGGCCTCAAACTCCGATTGGCTAGGAGGCAGTGAGTCGCATGCGGAAAGGGGAAAAGGTCGCACGAGGGAGGATATATTACCACAGAAGCACCGTTACCATCAGCGAAAGCGAAGTTTTCTGCGACTCCAGCCGCGGAAGAAGTCGCAGCACCTTCTTCTCACCCCAAGCCCATCGCAATCGATGCATGACGCCATCCCTAAAGCAGACAAGAGACTCGAGCTCCGACAGAGTGAGGATGCAGTTGGAAAATGTGATGGCAATATGATCGAGCCGCAAGAGTGCCTTCCGCGCGCTCGGGAGACTAGAAACTGTCTCAACGACCTGGTTCACCATCTCGAGCGCGAGGCGCATCTCCTCGACGGTGGTTAAAACGGCACCCGCCGCGTCCGGTGCGTCGATGGCACTCGAGACGAAGCCGGAGAGGGCGGAGCAGATCTTGCTCGCCGTTGCCAGGAGGCCAGTAATGGAGGCGGCGATACTTAGAGCATCGGCCATCGGAGTGCTCTTCAGTCAAAAGTATAAGCAAGAAGCAAGCACACAAGAAGAATCCAGGCGGCGGCGAACATTCAAAAGAGACAGTCCACATGGCGCGTGGGCTCAGCCGCACGCCACAGTTCCAGTCTGGACTGGTGGCACGTGAACAAGCTCTCGCCAAATCAATGACCTTGTTGGCGCCGCATGCGCTCCGTTGCAGGGTTGGGCTCTGGCTGATTGTCAGCGTGAGGTCAGAGGAGCCGCTGCTTGCGTGCCAGTCAAATCGGTCGTACATCTGAGCTTACAGATTCCAAGAATAAACTCATTTGCTATATGTAGTACATCGATTTTCGCCAAAGCATGCATTCGACCTCCAGATGGGTACCGAGCACTGCCAGGGAATAACTCGCCCGCTTCATGTTGCCACTCAAAAATCTTGCAAAGAGCCTTAACATGCTCTTCTTGAAGCGCCCGGTTTCGTCGCAGGCTCCAGTCCGCCGCAAGCGCCTCCACGGGCATCTCGCCGTCAAATTCGATACGGCCGGGCCTGCTCTAGGGTAGTTTCACTTTCCTCTAACTGCTTCCGCTCAGCTCTCTTTGCTGCCAATCTCCTCAAAGGCATCGCAAACACCAAGCACGGTCCTCTTCCCCGCGCCGTCCGCAGAGCAGTCAAGGCATGTGTCGAACCGACCTTATTCTACGGCGCAGAGGCGTGGTATCCCGGAGAGGTGGCGCCCAGCGTTGCGAACCCGAATCGCCTCGTGTCCACGCAAGTAAAGCACCTCGTGCTACGTCTGGACAAAGTCCTAAGACACGCTGTCCGAGCTGCCCTTCCTGTCTGGAAGACGACCCCGATCCCAGCCATGCACCGCGAAGCTGGCACGCCGCCTGCGTCCATCGCACTAGCCGCTCAGCAGTTCCGTTTCTCGGCACGCTTGAAGTCTCTCGACGGACGCCATCCCCTCGTTAAAAGGGCCTCGCGGAAACCCCCTCGAGCGCGCCACACCCGGAACCCCAGCTCGACCCGACGTGTAAAGCCAACGTTTCAGTCGAGGCTACAACGCGCCGACCAGCTCCTTCCGAAGTGCCATAGGCCGGCGCTCCTGCCGCGCCACTACTCCGACACAGAAGCCAGCCCTCTCCAGACTGCAAACAAAGCCGAAACCGCTGGTGACTTCCTCGAATGGCTTGGAACCGCCGCCGCAGCCACGCTCATCGTCTACTCCGACGGGTCGCAACTTCCAAACGGCGCCGTGGGATTCGGCTTCGCAGTACACCGGGATAAGCAATCGCTAGTCCAAGGATCAGGCCGCTTAGGCCCATCCGAAGTCTTCGACGCTGAGGCAACCGGTGCCATAGAGGGCCTTCGGGCCGCTCTCCGCCTGGCGACATACGAAGCGAAGTCGCGGTCTGTACGGACAATCTCGCTGTAGCCAGCTGTCTGCGAGGCAACCCAGCCGACTCGTCGCAGGACAAGTTCACCAAGTTCCAAGAACTGGCGACCTCGCACGGAAACGTGCAGGTCCGCTGGATACCAGGACACACCAACATACCGGGCAATGAGGAGGCTGACGGCCTTGCCAAAGCGGGCTGTTTGCAGCCTGAACCACCAGAAGCCATGCCATCTCTGGCCCACCTGCGCCGACTTGCGAGGCAGCAACCGAGAGACGCCTTCAAAGCTTGGTGGTCGACTGAAGCGCCAGAGTCATACAAGACTCTGAACCTCGAGGCGACCACAAGCTGCCCTCCAGAACTGGCGCTCCCAAGGGCAACGCTCCACAGCCTGCTTGCGGCGAGATCTCGCCACGGAGACTTCGCCGACTACCACGAGCGTTTCAATCATGACGACGCGCGCCTTGACTGCTCATGCGGACGACGCAAAGCACCAGAGCGCCCGTTCTTCTGCAGGAAGGTACCGCCACGGCTCCGGATGAGGCTGACCCCCTCACCGGCCGAAGTGGTACACCACGCAGTAGGCAAGGGCTTCAAAGCCTTCGTCGAGATGACGTCGGAGAGCTCCTTCTTCCAAAGGATCTGCCCGCGCCATTAGGCGAACAACACTCCCTTTCTTCCCTTTTGTTTTGTTTTTGTATGTTCTCAATTGCTGGTCACGGTCAAGCGTAGGGCGTCCCACCGCCCTTCACCCGGCCGAGGCCCTCCACTCTGGCTGCGCACGCAGCTAGAGAGGAAAAGCCTTCCCAGACTCATCAGAAAGATGGCGACGACAGCGACGTATCGTCGCACGCAACTCTACATCCCGCGGACGGGTGCGAGGCTCCGACGAAAGAGCGCCTTGAGCCGATGAGATGCTAGATGGTGTTTGTTTTGAAATGAGGACGCGTTGGCGGAAACTGCGGGGCGGCCGAAATGAGCGCCATTGGTGCTGGTGCCTGAGGCAGCCACAACTCAGTGGCTGCTAACCTGGACCAACTGGCAGGAATTTGGCGAAGCACAGCGGTTTGGAGCTGATGTCAATCGTAGAAAAACTCTCATTAGCCTAGCACGTCCTTTGCCCCGATAGGGGCTTTAGCTCAATAGCTTCCCGGACGTTAAATAATATCACATCACATCTAAAGTGGCTTCCTCACCAGCCGCAAACTAAGACGCCTTGCCCGAGGTGTTCCGTACTGTACGAGTACAGCCTCTTGTGCCTCGGTCCACCGCGTCTGGGGTTTTCATCGAGCGCCAATGGGCTCTCCTGCCCTGCTTACCGCCACGGTCGGGAGACCCGGGCTGTGGCTTCGCTGAGTTTCCGGGCAGCCGAAAATGCTCAACAAAAGAGAAGTGCCCGTTGATTTGTACCTCCGCCCGGGCAAGTGGAAGACGGCGGCACTAGCCGAAAGCCAGTGCTGTCTGGGTTCATGTCCCTGGGCCATGTGCAGATGACCTACCCTAGCAACCAGTGATGCCGCCACCCAGTCCGCCAAGCACAGCTCGTCACGCAAAAGACAGTTGACGCTGCTTGCCACGGTAATGGCGGGCTCACTTGGTAATTCAAACCACCTTGTACTGTTTTTCATTGCCACCTCTCTTGTGAAGTACTGGCTCGGTGGAAGAATTGTCTTACCCCCACTTAGACGGCTCTCGCAAGGTGACTGCTCGTCGGCATGTTAGGATGAAGAAAGCCCTATAGACCACGGTACTGCGGACCAAGTGGCACGTATCGCTTGGGCCGTCCATAAAAGGTCGGACCGCATTCGCTTCCGACTTGCTTGCCATACCCTTCCAGGGGCTGGCTTTGTGATGGAGTGAATCCCATGTGAACATGCTGACCACGCATATCTCTGCTCTCGAACTTCCAAGCAAGGAAGCGTCGAATTGGAACCGTGTTCCTGTAAACAAGATTCTCCGCACAAAATCGATCAAACAGGTATATTTCGCCTCTTGACGTTCGGATCCCTGCTCATACTCATGTCTAGACATATCACCTAGTCCAACTCGACGGTGTTGAACTACAAAAGCCGTCGGGTCCTGAGGATTTTGACGCCGGAATTGTCCAGGAGTTTCACTTTAATGGACCACCGTGGATCAAGGCCCAACACCTGTCTCGTTCGCACGCCCTTGGGACCACGACGCGGCATCCACGATTATCGTTCCCCTCACTAGGGCATTACGCAAGGTATTTGTCACGACCACTGACGCAATGGTGCTGGAGTCCACGGTGGAAGGCCCGGAACGGGGGCTATGCGGGGCTGGACAGGCAGGTTAGCGATGGTTGTCGTCTTGCTGGCACCTGGTATACATACAGCAAAAGGGGAGACGAATCGACAGCGCAGCTGCAACGAGAAATCCCACCTAGCGAGACAGAGCCGGATGCGCCAGGCTCGTACAATGCGCGCGCCAATTTCTGCGGCATATAGATGCTGAACAACATCATTTTACAGGCTGGCAAATGATTGTGGCATGAGCTCAGAGCAGAATGACTTGCGTCTGTGTCATTGCTCTGGATGCTCATCGGCTGAGGTTGAAGTCGATGGTCTTGCCCGAGGCTGGGATTGGGATACCGGTCACATTGTACAATACTTGAAACATCAACGAAGAGCTACCGTCGGAACGTGTCGCAATGAGAACCCAAGCTCCATGAGCGCTAACCGCAGGTAGAGATCCACAGAATCAGTACAGGAGCAAGCTCCAATAGTAAAATCTGTACAGGGAACTGGAATGTGGCAACAGAGAGGACTAATATCTAGAAACCCCCACGTCCTATCTCCTGCATGTCCCTATCAAGCACGATGCGTGGTCGCTTACACAGACCGAGACTCAAAAGTCGGAAGCCATTTCAGATCAAGTTCATATATCTACACCGTCCACATCGAAGACCATGCCCCATCGCTTCCACGCATCAGAATCCATCGACGACCCTCTGGCTGATATCATCCGCCAGTTGTAGCCGGCATAAAACAGACTCTCGTTGCCTAGTTGAGGAATCTGCGGTGCTCTCTCAGACGGCTCAGACTCCCCCACCGTTAGAAGTGCCATGTTATCCAATGTTGCCTCGTTAAGCGCGGGCAGGGGTGTGTCGAGCGTCCGGGTAAATGTGCTGTGGCTCCGGTGGCTAACTTGCCGTAAGAGTCTTGCTCCGGATGGCCCCTCCTCACTAGTGTGCGGCTGCATGATATTGTACTGGTTCGCGACTTCCAAATATCCGGTATCCAACTCATTCGCGTCATAAGCGCCATCGAAGCAAGTCGCCGCCACCCTGCCGAGGCGTTTTCGCTTGGGATATAGTACTGGTCGGCCACAAAACAATGATGATGGATGAGAGGTAACGGATGGAGCAACGAGGTTTGGATTTGCCGTTCGACTTCTCCGTAGAAACCGGGCAGCCAACGAAAATGCCGGAGAGGAGGCTGTAGAGGCCAAGCGGGATTTGAATTGAGGGAAGCAGCCCGATGTGGGTGTCTCGATAGATTGAAGCTTGCTTCTCAACCCACGCCTATATTTGAGGCCGATCAGGGCGTGCATGACTTCGCCGTGCATGAGACAATTGGACAAAGAGACAACTAGGTATCTCAAAGGGACACTGAACGAGATCGGACGGTCGATGTAAGACACACAATGCTGAGGGCGGTATGAGAATTGGAGCCGGACTCTGGTGTATCGTTTTGTGACCTGGAAGAGCCCAAGTTTAAAGAGACGTAAAGAGGAGATCTAGCCTGTGCAAAGTGGGAAGCGTTGAGGATGATGTACGGCGCATCGTCGTGTATAAAAGGATGTCAGGAATGTAGTAGGTGAGAAGTTGCTGGGAGCTCAGCTTGATATACACGTCACGTCATGGTGTGCAAAGAGTCTTCATCGCATCGTGAAGTCTGTCGTGCTTCAGCCATGCCCGAACTATGCCAAGCCAAGCTCTGGTTGAAGTTGAAGCCAAAACACGGACTGGAACATCGCTGGTCCACCAGACCGCCCCCACCACATCTGCCACGGTCGGGATGGCCGCCACCATGATCGTCATTACCTAATTGTTGCTGTTGCCGGACCGGCAATTGTGCAAGCCCCTGTTCTGCTTTCGTTAGATATGACCGAGATCGTTTCCATCGCGGACCGACCGGAGCCAACCTTAAGTCACCATCTGCAGCCATAGTATCGGCGATAGCCGCATTGGCTATCCTAGGCTCGATCTGGCAATTTGCTCCTTTGCCTATATCCGAGGTTGTTTGGGGGTCCATTGACTCCACTCGATGGACGGCACTTCTACAACAGCTACCTAATCATTATCCCAGAACCCTTTGGCAGCATTAGGACTCAGCTAAACACGCCCACACGATGGCCCTCGACTATGGCTTTGCATGGAAGTAGGGTTGCAGGACGTCAATCGTGGCAAGATCCAGACCGTATACTCGAAAGCTGCGCGGTACCTGCGGTACCTGCCAGTACGGGTGATCTTCCCGACGTCCCGAGGGCAGGGCAGCTAGCTACCGTGGGCAAATTACGTCGCCCCAACTACTAGTGTTTTGCACCTGCAACTCATCAGCCACTGCACCTGCCACGCCCTGGCTGGCACCGAGTAATAGGGTGCGGTCCGCGCTGACCGGCGTTCCCGCCAGCATCCAACCACTGAGCCCTTTCACCAGGCATGTGAAACATTGCGGACGGATGAGGTCGCTGTCGGTTGTGAAGCGCGCAGTCATAATTAGCCCCGGTCACTACTGGGGCAATCTAGGAGCAGCGTTGCGCCACCCGCTCACCCGACCCCGTCTCCTGCGCGACAAGCCAAACTCTAACCCGCCAGTCCGGCAATCCCATCCACTGGCAGCTGTCATTTCCCGCCTGGTGTGTCCACGTGCTTGGCGTAGATGTGGTCTGGAATGCCGCCATGGGGCAAGGTGTGACGTAAGGCGCCCTGTTCCTTAGCAAGGTTTTCTGTTTGCACTCTCGTTCCAATCTCCGGTCATCGTCAAGCGACACTGCCCCTCCTGGTGCCCCGCTTGATCGTCTGGAGATGGTTCCATTGAGTTCGTGGCACGACCGAACAGCTCAACACGCGGGTTGCATCTGCTAACAGGAACGATGAGCCGACAGACAAGCCTTCCTCACCGTCACTCTCCACATCACGAAGCTCGCGCCTCCCATCTCCGTTGGTTCCGCGGCCGGACTTCAGCCGCATCATCAATCGCAGAGGACGGCTCGTCTCAGAAGACGACATGTGATGGATAGTTACCAACTGTATTTTCCCAACACGTCTGGATTCTAGTGCGCCGATGACCGGCTGTCTAATACGCGAGGCGACGTGACACGAAATACCAGATCATTGTACGTCCAACACTACAGCAGCCTTAATGAGCTGAGGGCTAACTCTCGCCGTCTAATTGCGGAGAGATGTCGACGCGACCGGGTCTAGAGCTAATACACATTGGCATGAAGGAAAGGCGTCTTTGCAACAGCTCACCGGCACCTACCTCAAAACCAGCCGTGGCTAGAGCGCCAGAACCACCGTATAGCAACTGCCAAGGTGTGAAACTATTGGGGAAATGGCACAGCTAATTGCTATGTTGAGTTGGCTGCACGTGTTTATCGGTAGGACCCTGCTGTAGTACGGGGTAACGCAAGCCTCGTCCCGGTGCATTCGGTGTTTCCGACACCGCTTTCCATGCCGCTTGCTAGGTCAGGGCTACTCGAGAGAAATCTATATGTAGAGTCCCCAAAACATCCGTATAGAGCTGGTAAGTAGACACGGGCTACCTCCTTGATGTTGACCGGGGCAGGGAAGACGTGTAGCACTTGGGTTTACCTTTGAATCACCATGGGATATGATGATAGAACCTGGTTGACCACTGATACGAATGCCACTCGCAAGGTGGACGAACGTTACGCGAAAAAGCTACGACAGTGGTCCAGTGAGCACATCCAGTCCCGTTGATGGCAACTGATTGAAAGTACAAGTCGCGGGAGATCAATGCCGGATGCAATGGTGTGGCTCTGCATGGAATGCCCTGCATACGAATGGCAACTGCAGTGGCGCACGTGCTAACCCTCGCATCGAACCATGGTCATACAACATGAAGCCACAGATATCGACCCCGAACAAATCGAGGCTTGGGAGATGACAACCTGGCGGCACCCATCACGTACTTCGAGGATGCAATCCTGGGTCGGTACCGAGCACAAAAATTTGAGGCGCTACAGGTTGTAGCAGACCAATGCTGCGTCCCAGTGCAGGCCGATATTGTCGCACGGCTGCCCAGGATAGTGAGGGATGTGGTAGGCCTTTCAGTGCACCGGGCGGTCGACAGGAAATCGTCGCGCCCAGAGGCGCAGCCACCAAATCGTTAGCTCCCTCGGCGTCCCATGTACAGAATTGGTGGGAGGAGACGCAACAGGTACGAGGAACCCTCTGCAGCCGATGGCGTCTGTGATTTTTCCTGCTTCTGTGTCTCACGATCGCTGGAACGATTTCGAGTCATTCGGTAGTCCCTGCCGATCGGGGAGGTGGCCCTGGTGGCAGTTGCCGCAACCACCTGGTGGCCAAATGACAGCCGTCTAACCCGTTTTGACCAAGGAATGCTCATCCCCTCCCACCTCCCACACCATCCAAACTCAATTGCCCGGCCACATGGCACCATCAACCTTGCGGTCGTCAGGCGGCTCAGCATCTCCGGTCTGGCATGGCCAATTAGATGCTTGGCTCCCGCCCGTTCTGTAGTCTGTACCACTCTCCATGCCTCAGCCAGCAAGACAGAGCTGCCCACAGCGGGTGCGAGAACCTGGTCAAGGTCTGTTGACCTTTAATTACGGAGAATTGTACAAAGAGACATACCCTGGCATTAGAGCACACCAAGTCGATATGTCATCATGTCATGTACATATATTGAGGCCTGACTGCCAGCATGAAACCGACCGTCTTTGTGACGGGCCTTGCTTGCTGGACTGCCCGTTGCCATACTTGGCTCACTTGTACGCATTGAGCAGTTGGCGCCGAGAGGCCCTCAGTTCCGGCCCTCGGCTACGTGTCGGGCCATCCAGCTGCCCGGGGGCGGACAGGTGGATATACCTACTCGATTGGGACCTTTGGGCCGATTGAGGGAAAATCGAGGCCACAACCGGGCTTTTGGGCGGCGGGAGGGGCAGAGACATGGCTGTTGTTGACTGACGAACAGAGACGTGGCAAGCCGAGGCAGAAAGATTTTGCCCAACGGCACGCGCCAGGTCAGTAGTGATCTGTAACGAGGCGCCTAGGTTTACGATCCGCGAGCAGGTGAGAAGTTCGGGATGGAGGATGGAGGAGGAGGAACAATGTTGAACCTGCCATTAGACTTTCACTTTTCTCGAGGCTTAGGGGCGTTTTGGCCGAACATCGCGCTGTGATGCTCAAGACCTGTCTCTTATACACATCTAGATGTGTATAAGAGACAGGGTTTACGATCCGCGAGCAGGTGAGAAGTTCGGGATGGAGGATGGAGGAGGAGGAACAATGTTGAACCTGCCATTAGACTTTCACTTTTCTCGAGGCTTAGGGGCGTTTTGGCCGAACATCGCGCTGTGATGCTCAAGACGACTGAACACAACACATGGAGTAAAGTTTGAAGGCGCCGTATGAAATGGATGGAGGGTGGCAGCAGAATCATTTTGCCCCGTCAACAGGGGCCGTGTTGAGCTTGACCAAAATTCGGATACGGCCTAACAGGTCTTCCATGGTGGACCAGGTGACGCCTTGCCGCACTACTTCGGGAGCGCATCAGAGAGTGAGCGCAATACCGACGTAGTCGCGATTATGCTTAACTGAGGTGCCCAAGTTGTCGTCATTCATCATGATGGGTGGTGGAGTCGACAGCGTTGCAGCAAAGCAACAGCAACTTGAATCCTGGCGACAACATTTCCAGTGTATACTAAGGCGTCGTTCGTGATATTTGTGCGCAGTGAGGGACCCCAGTTGTCCCCCTCAGACGACAAGTGACCGTCCGATCGTAACGTCTCGCGTAAGCACTCTGGTGGTAGGGCGCTGTGCCCCTTGTGCCAAGAGCAAGCCCAGATCAACGTCGAGAGAAGCATATGGTACGGGCACGCCGGGTGCGGGTGGGCACGTGGCCCACCTCCGTTTATCCCCCAATACCATCGCCGGCAGGCACTCAGTCTCGCCGCCCGGCCCTGGCTGTGATAGGTGGCCTCACAAGGTTTCGGCCCTCTCACGTAGCATTGAAAGGGCAGCTGTTTACTAGGAGAAATTTCTGCGCGGCCGGTCCCTAGCATGCCTAGTCAGAAGTAGACACGGCTTGTTTCGGGCCAGAAATAGCACTGAGAACGTGGCGACGGACGATGACAACTATTACTAGACAGGTGGCTTGAAAGCGCGGCTAGAGGCATGGAGGTGCCTGTCCATTGCACCGGGTGGGGGGTCCCAAAGTTCATGTTGATCATTGTCAACCCCTGGCGAGCCTAGCCCGAGATTGTTTACATATATATTCTGGGCCAAGGACTCTCCAAGAATTTCCATCGCTGTCCTGACTAGCGGCCATTTGGTACCATACATGACTTCTTCACAGTCTCATACCCGACCCCGCAACCATTTCCAACAGACAGCTTAGAGGAATGGACAACGAGTCAGGGAGTTTACTTCCAGCAGCAGCGGAAGGAAACAAGTTCGGGGAGGAAGGCGACACCAGCATTGTGTCATCTATATCATGCAGCAACGTCGCCGCTAGATCTCCCGACCGAGTATCCAACTACATCCACACCGACACGGCCACTACCTATCGCCATAATTACGTCGTCCATGGTATAGGCATGCATAATATACGCAGACGTACCCGGAAGGCACAAAATTCACCGCCGGACGTTGGCCTGAGTCTCAGCTTGATGCATGGCTGCTTTGGTTCGTCATGTAGAACGCACCCCGGCAACGCATTCGGGAGCTCTGAAGCGAGTCCATTGCCTGCTCATCCACAATTGCGGGTGCGGAAGGAAGTGCCGCAATCGACATCGTCATCGGTCACGGTCGCATTCATTGCATCGAACACGAATGGTGCCTGATGCATATGACGCGAAGTCGATGGCTGATTCTATCGATGGACTGCGAGGAACCCCAATCGTCGCGGGTGACCATAGCTGCTAGCTTCGTTCATGATATTATTGCACCCGTACAGAGTTAAATGCGTCCTACAATGTGAGTGAAGAGTGGGAGAGGCGAGCTCGTCCACTCCACAGCAACCAACCCCACAAGCCGACGACAACAGGTACACAAATGAAGCTGAAGACAAGACTGCCCCCAAACACTAGTGCATGGTATTTCCAGGCGTTGTCTTCGTCTAAACGCAAGACTTGGCAAACGACGGCTCACGGCAGCACATACAGAATATTGCTCGCCACGCTCTGCCACAGGTACCACTTGGGTCTTGTGGCAAGTAGCACAGCAGCCAGCTGCGTTGATACGGCGTACAAAACATAACACCAGTCCAAGGAACGCCACATGTGCTCTGTCACCTCAGCCACGGCATCATTGTTGCTCAGATACCGTGCAAACGCGCGTGATCCAGCGGCTGACAAGCCGATGCAGAGCGGAATCTCAAATGTAAGAGTCAGTCCCATTGACAACACTGCTGGCTGAACCACGGGTCATAGAGAGGAAATAGACACGCAAGCGCTGGGTGCTTGGCGCCTCCAGCGACCCCAAGCATGGCTTACGAAAGTCAGCGTCGACGCCTCGAGGGCGGAAACGGGAACCATGGCCAAGCCCCATCGGATGGTATTGAAGACGCCCCAGGCAGTGGCGTACGTGGAGCCAAGAGCCACTATCGTACTGCCGAGCCAAAGGTAAAGCACGTTGCGAACGGCGGACTCAGCGAATGTGATCAGCCCTGGTCGGACGAGGATCTTGAGCGCAGCGAAACGCGACGTAGTGCTCTCGGTTGTCATGCCAGAATACTTCCTACACGAGGCATTCGTGAAGACGAAGTAAAGGACGCCAAGAAGAGCAGCGGTCATATTGCAAGTGAGTTGTATGCCCGCCTGCATCTCCACAGTCGGATCTTCAGTTCTCACATGGAAAGTCGAGATGAGGAGTAGGTCGAGAACGATGTTGACAGCAAATTTGACAGAACTTAGGACAAGCGGCACATCTGGCTGGTCAAGCGCGCGTGATGCTGCTGCTATCGCTGCCTGCACGGCGGAGCTGAAGGTCGAGAAACTGCTGATGCGGACATAAGTGATGCTCTTCGCGCGAGCGAGCTCTGGAACGAAGGTATCGGTGAAGGATTGGGATGTTGAAACCAGTACGATGGCGAGGATGAAGCCGAGGAACATCTGGGCCAGGAGCAGTGTGTAGGCGAGAGAGAGTCGGGCCGGTCCAGCTGGGCGTGTTGCAATGGTCGACCAAGCGGCACGTGGAAGGACTTCGTTGATGACCTCTGCGAGAGTCATGATATAGGTGTATACGCTAGCGAGACTTGTCAGCATAATCCCCGCCCAAGGAAGAGCGTAGGACGAGTAGCTTACTCCGAAGTCGCCACCATGGAGGAGTCGATGTGGGCAATCCAGAGTTTAGACAGTGTGCCGTACAAGGCAGGCAGGAGAAACGCAGCGACATTAAAGCACAATGCTCCAGCGTATGTCTCTCTGCCCCATCGAGATTTCCTTGACGATGTCTCCCGGGCGCCCTGGTCCACACTCAGGTCAGTAGCAGCATACGCCTCACGAGAGGCGCGAATGTTCTGCATCTTGACGCGTCGCGAGGGATTAGGAGAGGCGTTCGAGCCGGGTTGGCGCAACGAAGGATTGAGGGGTAAACCGACTTACAGCTTGTAAGCCCACGGTAGGTGGGAGTGACTTGCGCCTCGGCCACTGACTAACTTAGCGACTCAGGTCAGACTTCGATCTCTCCTGGTGCACAGAATATGACGGATTGGCCAAGGTCGAGCTTTCCCTTGCGTACACAGGCTATTGAGATCAGATAAAGTTCGAGGGGGGGGCAGGCATGACCGACCGTGCATAAATAATCAATACCATTCGTCTTCGCCCACATCAGGGTCAGACACATTCAAGCATTCTGCATTCAGGCGCAGGCCCTCATCCCCTGACTCAAACACTTTCCGAGAAGGCGGCTGTCGAGTTTGATCTCGTCGACGTCGCTGAAGCAGCTCTGGACTCTGCTGGAAGAAAACGTGGACGGCTGTGGCGCGTGGCGGGACGGCCCGTCAACACTACGGCTCGCTCAACTGAGACTAGTGAGCGCCACTTGTGGCTTCACAGCCACAACACGGGGGTGGCTGTGCCTCGAGAACTGTCAGGGGCAGGGCCGGTATGAAGTCCATCGCCCGTGGAGGTCCGATCTCACACTGAGTTTTGACGCGTTAGCTATCCGGTTGCCGCCAACTCGGCATTCCAGCCTTACTATTTCGCACAGCAAGCGCACGACAATCACGAGGATGGAGGTGTGGAAGGGAGAGGCACTGTCACGCGAACACTGTGAAGGAGCTGGCGGTGAATGTGCAGCGCTGACCAACAGTTCCGTGCAGACGAGCTCCTGCAGCACTGCCACTGACGGTGACAACACCACTGCGCCAATCACTCACGCGCTATCGGTTCGACGGCTGGGCGATGCAGGATACATATGTCAATATTTGCCTGGCGACCAGAAGGGACAGCGGCGGAGCGACCGTGCGAGGTCCTCTAGCAAACCTAGCGATGGGCACTGGCGACAGAACGGCGAAGTTCTCCAAGCACTTGACGACCTGCCTGACTTCTGACGATAGTTGTCCGCTAACATTGCGATTGTAGGATGCCCCATTCTTCATCCGGATCCCCAAACCCGACCGCCGAGTCGATGATGTGTCACGTCACCATCGATTGGCGACTGTCACGCATCGCTCGAAGCCAGAGCTGGACCGCCGCCGGCTCGACACAGTCCACGACTGGCTGTGGCTAGCAAGCCGCCTTGCTCCCCCACTCTCCACCAGCGGATAGCACTCGGCCGTGAAGCATTCATCGCCGAACATATGGACACCAAGGCGTAGATGTAGAGATAACCCCTCTCTCGTACGTCTCCGCGAACTTAGTATTGAGTTGCGCGGCTAGTTTGATCTGTGTGAGACTAGGAAAGTATTCTGTCCACTACATGCAGGCGGAAGATGCGCACCCGAGCGTCAGGACTGCAGTATTGGGAACGTTCGCCAGCCTCTCAGTCTTCGCTGTAAACGCCTGCAAGTCTCATTCTACCATCCGCCGAGGTTCATGGGTTCGACACGCATATTTGGCACCTCCGTATGCACACACGTCACGGGCACTTCACGCTGAACAAACTTTGGGCAGCCCTCTTTGCCTTGATCATTGTTGCCTGACACCATCAACGTGGGCGTTGCCATTCTTATTCAGCCACACTCGAGCCTTCCCCATCGTCATAAAATCATAAATCGTCGCGGCGAAAGCTGATCATATCTCGTCATCGCTCACTATTTCCCGCTCCCTTGGAAGTCTAGATATGCTCGTAGATGCATCGTGCCAGAATGCGAACTACCTCATCTCGAGGACCGGGCACGCGATCGAGTCGGCGAAGCTCTGCATGTATGGATGCCAAGATCTCTCGCTGACGGTCTGGTGCTTCGACTTGAAGCAACTCAAGCATTCTGATCATTATAAAGCGAGAAGCAGACCTCACTTTATTGTGCCAATGTCGGTGGGCTTCAATAAGGCGGAGATGTGCATCATCCCGCCGACAAGTTGCCGAACAAGCGCCCTCCATATGATGACGATAGCCCGACTCTCCAGACGTGCTGCAAGTCGCATGTCCGCTATCCGCGCCAGAGGTCTGGTAATCACCACAGCTACATTGTGCAGAGCCATCTTGGTCTCTTGCATTGTCAGCCCTGGCGTGACGCCAACTTGGCTCCTGTTCGCTTCTCTGCGAACCCACGTCCACCATGTCCACGTTGCTGTCCTCCTCGACTCTCCAGCTGCCTGTCTCAGCATGACCAGCTTGGTCTTCTGCATCGCCGGTGCAAATTTGGTTCCACATGTTATCAGCAACGACCGAGATCAGCAAAGCGGACGTAGATCACGGCACTTGTAATCTCGGGATGGTGCGAGCGATGGACGAACACGAACGGTGTTTTCGATAGTTCGATTTCCGCTTCCACAAGTTAGCAGTGATTTACCCTACTCACGTCTTTTTGCGGATGTTAGGCGCTGGCCACCAATTGTGTAGACCTGGATAATCACATTCCCCTAACTTTTGCCGATCGGGCCCGTGCTGCCCAGCTCCGAAACAGTTCTCCGGTCGTGGACCGGCCGATCGGTGTCTCGCCGGCGCCACGGCGATTGGCCCAGACGCCATCTTCGCCTCTACTCCGACTCTCCAACTCTGCTGCTACGGAAGGTGCGCAGCCTGCATTCGCGCCGTATAGGCCCTCGCTAGAACCCATTCTGGAGCCCGTCTCTATCGTCGAAGGCGCCAACAGGGTCGCACAAGAGCAAACGGATGCCTACAACGCCAAATTAGCAGTCTTCCATGCATTCTGTGAATCGTTCGACCAGGCCGCGAAGCAGTTCACGTCTGGAATTGAGCATACCTTCGCGAACCAATTCGCCACCAGCTTCCTCGATTTCTGGCGCCAGTCTCTCTCGATACTGCCGCCCGTGACGGCGCCGACGTACAGCAGCGTTGCCGCCGGTCACAGTCCTCTCCAGGCCCCTGCGGGCCACGCCACCACCCCCTCTGCAGAGGCCCCGCCATCTGCACCACAACAAACAGCCGAAATACGTCTCCAGGGACGACCAATCCCCGCCCCACCGAAAGAGGACCTCCGGGTCTTTGTGCGACTTGACGCCGAAGCACCGGCGAGGAAGCGCGAATCGTACGCGATCCGGACCCACATCGCCGCGAAAGTCGGCATCGACCTCCACCAAATCCCGGCAGCCTTTCCCGTAAACTCGGGCTGGGCTATTCGCACCGCGGATGCAAGCTGTTCCTCGTGTATGACACTTTCGGCGGCGTTGTCGAGCCATGTCGACACGGCCGTGAGCACGTCTTGAACGTGCCTCTCTGCAATTGTGGGCCAAAGCCCTGACTGCTCGTGGAATAGCTCAGCTAACAACGCAGCATTGTGATTTCCCGGTAGTTCTTTGCCTCGGGTCCGTGCATGCACCTGTATAATGCCATTTAGGGGTGTTCATGAGCGACAGTGGTCCAGCCACGCACCTGCTTCACCCAATGCATCATTTCAGCCTTGCTCACAAGGAGCTGAGCCGTTTCATCAATTGATTCATGGTCGTCTGAGCCACCTGCCGGAGGTTCTGGATTGTCCGAGTCGGAGGATCTGAGCTTCCTCCGCTGACCACTCTCCCGCATATGCGCTGCGAATTTGGTGTTCAATTGCTGTACGACCGCTCTCAGCCTCGATTGTGGCTGTTGTGCAAAGAAGTCGGCTTTAATGCTGTGGTAATTACCGTCGAGGGCGGCTTGCAATAGCTCATAAAAAGTCATGCTCCGGTCCGTGACGAACGATCTGATATGGCCAACGGTAGGTCGGGCGTCACCTAGTGACCGTAGCTCAGCTTCTGTGGACGATAGCTTTCTCTTGATCTCGTCTCTGACGTTGGGCAGCTCTCGTTCTATGTGCTTGTCAAGAAGTTGCTGCAAATAACATCGCAGCTTTTCGGCCCCAAGGCGGTCTGTGTCGAGATCTTGGGCCGCCCATTCAGGCAACGAGAAGAATCGCTGCTCGCGGGCAGCACGGGTGGCCATATTGAGGCCCTGTTCGAGTTCGGAAGGCGAGGGATTCTTTAAAAGGAAGAAACCCAGTTTGAGCTTGATGCTGTCTTTGTTTCTTGCTACCAGTGCAATCTTGGCCTGGCTTCCCTCGTTGATTAGATCAGGCTTCGTGATTATTCCAACTGTCCGCTGGCCTTCCGGGTCGTGCTTCCGTGCCAACTTGATGATTGGTTGATTTGCCATGTCGTTACTGGCTTGAAGCACCGCCAGAATGATGGTTCGTGTATTCTGTAGATACGACGCCACCATATCGTGCACAGCGTCGATGTCCTCTTCGGTTTGTTCGTCGTTCGCAACCGAGATCAGCCCAGGGAGGTCCACAACGCTCAGATGGAGTCCGACAGGCCCAAAAACCTCGATACGAAGGGCGTCGGGGGCAAAAGCATATGAATTTTCGCCCTCAACGTAGCCACGAATATTCATCAGCCTGGAGACATCCGTGATGATGTCGGGCAGCTCTGATAAGTCTTCGACAACCCTCCGATACGCCTGGAGGAGCTCGATTGCCTCTTGGTCACGTGTTGTATGAGGACGGATGGTTGCTTGTATCGAAGTTTGCGGGCTGTCGGCGTGTCGTAGGACAATTTCTGTTGGGAACCTCGTACACAGCCCCTCCTGTCGGGGAAATGGTATTCCGGTGATGCCTTCCAAGACCGAGCTTTTACCAGCCGACTGGTCTCCGCAAACGACCAGCTGAGGCAGTGACACGTAGTCTCCAACTCCATGAGCTCTAATATTTTCAATTTGGTTGAGCCGGTAGCTGGAGTGGACGGAACGCAGGTGGCTAAACGTTTCGTCTGGGGGTTCGGAATTGCTCTGTGCGGATAAGGTCATGGTTTGATGGCAGGTGAATATGCGAAACGATAAATGTAAGTAGGTCGAGTTGGTTTTCGTGGCGTGCCCGAAAGTAGGTTCTTTGGAAGAGGTCCCGTCTACTTATGGAATATGGGAAGAGAGTATAGCTAGTCTCAGGAGATTTGTTGTGCTGTCGTACAGGTCGGATTTCCGGTCTGCAGCTCCGAGATAGTGCAAGAAAATATTGACAGATGCATTGGATCTGAAATGTTGATGCCTTGTGGCGCCGCCCCGAGCTCAGGTTAGGGCTACTGGCGTCTCGGCGTAATATGCGGTGGGAGCCAGACGTCTGGCATGCTGAACCATCGCAGACGCTTCGACGGTTTCAGCCATAATCTTAGCGAGAATACCAAGAATCAGGAGCAGTTCTGCTCTGTCACAGCGTCGCATAGCCTACAAGGAACAAGTCCCGCTGGTTGTCCCAATCCGCTCTTTCAATCAGTCGACCTTCCCCGCGCGGCCGATGTGATGGGCATGCTCATCGCTGTAGGGCGGGAGTAGTCGACGGTTCATAAATACTCGGCCTGGTTCCGAAACAAAAAAAACGCAAACAGGTGTGGAAAGTGAGTCTTGTCGCAGGGTCGTCAATGTTTGCCCACCAAACGACGGCTGGGTATGCATGATGTGAAATGTCAGCCCGCAATCCATCACTAGCCACGTTTCATTTGGCCATGGAATGGTAGGGGTCTAGAATGCACCGTTACCTACCAAGGCGTGGTGTTTGTTATGTGTGCTTGGGTTTACAAAGGAGGTGGTGGGACAAATGCGGCCGAGTGCTTGGGGGTGGCGGTTACGTCCGGGCACGTCCAGCTTAGCCGCCTTTTCGGCCGAAAACTTCAATATCAAAACGAAGTGGCCAAAATCCGCTTGGGTCGAGTGACAGAAGCTCAGCTCACTCGAGCATGCATGTTACTGATACTTTCCAAGAGCGGCTCGCAGTCATCACACGGATGGACCCAAGAGAGATGTCTCGCACGCAGGCGACGACCCAAGGCTGGGACAATCATGATCAAATTAGGAGACCGCCAAATCATTGATCATGGCAACTAACTTAACCAGACAGAGGCCAGCGACAGTATATAGCCTATTTAGCTCGCTTTTTGAATATGTCGTCCCAAGAGTCTCGCTCAAAGCGCTCGAAAAGTCTGTCCCATCGTTCCACAAACTCTGCCCGCTCATCCGCAGACATGGTGTCTAGAATGCTGTCGAGCTCGGCTGTTTTGTATTGCAACAAGAACTTCAGTGCCTTCCCTTGAGTTCGTTCGTTGGAGATCCAACCCCGTACGAGATCCTTACTTAGGCGAATCGTCGCGCCACGCCGTTTGAGTATAACGGACATGATGCCCCACTTGTCACCCTGCAAAACCTCCTCGAGGATGTCGGTGTCAACTTCATCCGCAGACATAGATTCTCGGAGCAGTAACCACATAATCTGGGTGCCGTTTGTATTGTCATTGCTGACAGCAGCAAGAAGGATATCCTGCGTAATTCGGATATCGGTATCGGCAGCGTTCAATATCTGGAGGAACCCTTCCCCCCCCGAGACTTTCGCAGCTTTTTCTATGGCTTTCTCGGTGATTCTGAGAGAGTGTCTGGCCGCATTGCATAGCAGAGATGAGTACGAGTCCATGTTTGGGATTGCAGCACACAGAATCTCGTCTGTGATGCATATCTCCGGCTTGCGACGACGGAGGAGAAGCGGCATTGCAGCCCATGCATTCGAGTTTTTTGCCACAGCCATGACGACGTCGTGAGGGATCGGCAAAGTGTTGCTGAAACGACTCAGGACAAGCTTAAAAACTATTGCGTCGTAATCTTCTTCAAACTCTGACCTGGCAGCACCTAGCAGCAGTCGCTCTGTGACCGGAAATTCAGGTCCAACTCGCTTAAACAGCAGCTGCAAGAAGTCGTGAATCGTTGAGGCAAAGCTCAAGTAACTTGAGTCACTCGAGTTCACATCCATGATGGAGAGGATGGTGTCTTCTGTTATGTGGATGTCGTTGGGAAACCTGTCGAGGAGCATCTCGGCGATCTTCAGACCAGATTCCCAGTTTGTAGAGGCTTGTGTAATCATTGTCGCAGTAACAATCGGAGTATTGCTGAGTCGATCTAGAAGATATGCTACCATATCCTTGCTAGAGTCTGTGATTGCAATTGCCAGAAGTGATTGGTCAAAGAACAGCCTGGTCTCGGGACGATCACCGAGCAAGGCAAGAATTTCATAACCATGTTGCACATTTGCCATGGTAGAGCGCAGCGTCGAAGCCGTGACTGTGAATTTGGGATGAGTGATGAGGGACAGCATGTTGCCTGGAGTGAAATGTGCAGCGGCAGATTGTAGCAATCTAGGCGTCATCACGATCTCGTCTCTTCTGGCTTTGAGTATGGTGCTCAAAATTTCGCCTCCAGCCTGACTCGCACTTCGCAGGGAAAACGCAGTCAGTGGTACCCCAAATTCCAAGAGTCTTGCTAACGTCTCAACACAGCCGCCGCCTATTGCATCGGATACCGGAGACTTAAGAGAGCCACCAAGATCGTCATCCTCGTATTGCTCAAAGTTGATGCCGATACCCTGTCGAGACTTCTGAAAAGCGAAATTGACCAAACAGGGAATGCCCCATATTGCTGCCACGTTCAGAAGTGGCAAGTTCTTCGAGGGTGATTGCCACAGCAATCCGATCCGCGGTTCCTCGTCGCGGCTGAGATGGTCCTCCAGCCATTTGTCTCGTACTGGCGACGGATCTGAAAAAAATGTGGCAATTTCGTCTGTAATAATGAAAGCTGATTGCGCAAGGCGAGCGTGCTGATGCCAGTAGGTGCTTGCGTATCGAACAAAGTGCCTATGTGAGCAAGAGCGGCTCTTATGGCGTTCATAGTGGCCGATCAACTCAACGATGCACCGTCTAGCTGCGGCGGCATGGATCTCGTGTTCTGAGCTGTTGAAGAGCTCGAGGGATGTAAGCAAGAACTCTCTTACAGTTGTGTGTAACAGAACAACTCGCTCAGGATAGGGTTGCATTGACTCATTGAGACAACCTCTCCGACTGTCATGACTGGGAATGCTCTCTTTTGTGATGTCGACAAGCAAGAGACACCTATCAATGCGGTCGCGCATGGACTGTAGCCTCGTTTCATGGTCCTTCTCCTCTGTGTCAAAATAGCAAGCTTCGGAGAGCTCCAACAAAGTAAGCGGTCGAAGTGACGTTGACACAAGGAACAGAATTTCCTTAGTATCGGCGGCTCCAGGGGCGTCAGGACTGATGAGAGAGGTCAAAATTCTGGAGTAGAGAACCTCTAGACGTATAGGTAGGCGACTGAGAAACTTCAACACATCCACCGAAAGGACTGAATGCAACTCCCGGCAGATCATGCCAACCCAGAGAAATGTGTCTTCTGCCTTCTCTACCAGAACAGTCTTGACCTTTTCTTTCAGAGCTGTAGAGTATCGCTTCTTTTTGGCCAGTTTTTTCCAGTTCGTATTCGATGTACTGCTGAACATCTTCCTTAATCTGAGGGAGAGACGCCAGGTCTAAGCTTTTGAACTGGCCCAAAAAATCTCGGATGTGGACGTAAGGCCTACTTAGAAGCAGGAAGTATATATTCGAAGGTCCATCAGAGGTTTCAAAAGTTTGTTCGAGCTGAATAAGGAGATCGTCTCTGGACTCGTCGCCACACTCATCCAGACGGTGGTAACCTAGCTCCCGCTGGTCGTGTCATGGAGATGCTGTCGGAGCACACGGTCGAGGGCTGGCTCGAGGGATACCTGCTGAGCGGTCGCCACGGGCTGCTCAACAGCTACGAGCCGTTCATCCATGTTATCGACTCCATGGTGAACCAGGTATGCAGACCTTGACGAGCCTTTCGTAGTGCGTATGATACAGAACTGATTCCATATTACCTAGCACTGCAAGTGGATCGAGAAGTCGCTTGAGATTGAGTGGCGCAACAAGATAGCCTCTCTCAACATTCTACTTACCTCTGTTGTCTGGCGGCAGGACCACAACGGCTTCTCGCACCAGGACCCGGGTTTTCTCGATGTCATCGCCAACAAGAGCCCCGAGGTGGTGCGAATCTACCTGCCTCCCGACGGCAACTGCCTCCTCTCCGTCATGGACCACTGCCTGCGCTCCGTCAACTACGTCAATGTCATCGTCTCGGACAAACAGGACCATTTGCAGTACCTCAATATGGAGGAGGCGGTCGTACACTGCACAAACGGTATCAGCATCTGGCCCAAGTTCAGCACCGACGCGGGGCTCAATCCGGACGTCGTGATGGCGTCCTGCGGCGACATCAGCACCCACGAGACGCTCGCCGCCATCGACCTATTGTTGCGGCAATTCCCGGAGCTCAAGATACGCTACGTCAATGTCGTTGATCTGTTCGTGCTCATCCATCCGACGGATCACCCGCACGGACTCTCGGACCGCAAATGGTGCAGCCTCTTCACCGACGACACGCCTGTCGTCTTCAACTTCCACAGCTACCCCTGGATGGTGCATCGCCTGACGTATAAGCGACCGGGGAGCCACAATATTCACGTCAGAGGTTACACGGAAAAGGGAAATATAGACACGCCGCTCGAACTGGCCATCCGTAATAGGACCGACCGCTTCAGCCTTGCCATCGATGTCGTCGACCGGGTGAAAGATCTCCACAATCGCGGCGCCTCGGCCCGCCAGGCCTTCCACAACGAGCAGACAAAGGCCGCAAACTACGCCTTTGAGAATGGTGTCGACCCCGCGTACCTATCTACTTGGGACTGGCCGGACAGTGGTTTGCGGCAGAAAACGGCGGAGCAGCTAATCGCCTGACCTTAGTTGTGGTGTATCTGGATGCTGGGCATTCTGCCGGAGGCATTGTGAGTCTTTAGGTAAATTGTTCCATGATATAGTTACCTGGAGATGATTGGCTGAACCAACTCTCTATTCTCGGCGCTACTCGACTCTGACTATCGAATGAGTAATGACCTTGCGGCAGTCAAACGATGATCAGCCACCCTACATATGCGGCATGCTCTCCAGCTCTTAATCTCTGCCTCATAGATCTCTCAGCCATCTTAGTAAGGGCGGTTCTACCTCAACCAGGTAAGAGCTTTCTGAGCGGCTTGATGCCTTGCTGTGGGACCAAGTGCGCAGGGCAGGAGACATCTACTGATATGGCCTTGGAGCTGCGCCTCAAGCAACGCTGAGAATGCAGCCACATCATAATTCTGATGTTTCCCTTGACAAGAAACCTTCGCAGGCTGTTGAAGCCCCATCGCATTAGTAGTAGTAGTAGTAGTAGTAGTAGTGTATTTTTCGTCCAGCGACCTTTACGTCGCTCAGATCCCCGAGACGGGGCACAGGCCCCATCGCATTGTTAGTTAGTTGTATGTTTATTACGCCTGGTGGCCGCGGGCCAATAAGGCAACTATCTGCTTATGGACATGCACCTTTCTCAATCTTTGGCATGGTGCAGCTTCCAACCCCTTGGTAGCTGCCGTAGCCATATGCTCGTTGTACTTGAGGCCAGCATCCACAGTGACTCCGAGAACCTTGACGCTAGTCTTAGGGTAGACGAGCTGGCCTTTGATCGTGAACGGCTGTGTATCTGACTTGTGCGGTTTGCGAGTAAAGTGTATGATCGCTGTCTTCTGTATGTTGAAGGTTGCACCACTCCGCCTTTCCCAGTCCAGAGCCTTTTCAATGATTGCTTCGATTCCGGCGCGGTTGTCCTGCGCCGTGGTGCTCGTAACCCAGGCTGTGAAGTCGTCGACAAAAGCCACGGCCCCGCCATGACGGTCAATTCGCTGTTGAACGAGATCTGCGTTGAAGAAGAGGAACAGTACCGGTGATAGAGGAGAGCCTTGCGGTAGGCCGGCCTGCGAAAGGTCCTGCATCTGCGATGTCTGCCCGTTGATATGTATCGTTGCGGTGTGATGCGAGCAGAAAGCTTCGACCCAGCGGAGCAGGTCCTCCGGTATGCCCCTCGCTCGCATGCGCTGTATGAGCCTTTCCTTGCATACACCATTATACGCACCTTTCGCGTCGAAAGTCACGAGCGTGAGTATGCGCCGGTTCCTCCAGGCCGTGTAGACCTCCTCCTGTAGCAGCATCAATGCTTGCTCGGCAGATCGCTGCTTGCGTGCCCCGAAATGATTGGTGGGCAAAAGGCCATACGTCTCGACCGCGTGGGAAATTCTCTCAGCCACGACCGATTCCAGGACCTTCCCAAGCGTGGACAGCAACGATATTGGCCTCCACGCTCCCGCCAGGGAGTAGTCGTCTTTATCCGGCTTTTTGAGTGGGATGATTTTGGCGTGTTTCCATTGCGTGGGCAGTCTTCCCTCCTTCAGCGACGCACTGAAAAGCATCAAGATGTGGTGCTTGGTGCTTGGCCACACTTGCTTCCAGACTATGGTGGGAAGCCCATCTCCGCCCGGGGCTTTCCATGACTTGGCGGCGAAAAGCTGTCGTTCTATTTCCTCAAGCGTAATGTCTGGCATTTCAATCGCTGTGCCGCGCTGGGGCCGTTCCCCTTCGTCATCAATGACGTCCGGTAGTGGTGGGAAGAAGGTGTCTAGCATCTCTTCAGCTTGCTCCTTGCTGTTGACTGTTTTCGTGCCATCGGCTCGCACGAGCTGTGGTACCTTGCCGAATGCTGCATCACTGGCTGGGTTCAGGTACTTTGCAGCCTTCCAGATGTTCTTGTTGTCCGCTAGAAACTCCTGCCAATGAGTCTTCTTCTGTCGTCGAATGCCGTCGTGGTACTGTTTGGCAGCTCCACGGGCCAAATGTTCCAACTCTTCGGACTTTTGTCCTGCCCGTCTCGATGCCCTTGCCCGCTTTCTCCAGTAAGTGAGAATTTGACGGAGTTGGGTCAGGTCCGCAGTCCACCAGCGTTTCGCGTGCGGAGCCGGCCGCGCCTTGGGCGTCAAGGCGTGGACCGCTTCCAACACCACGGACATGAGCCTGTCTGCCTGCTGTTGGACTGTGCCGCCAATTGGCCGGCTTTGCATCGCAGACGCAATTCGGGCATTGATTTCCTTCCAAGGTGCGTTTTTGAAGAGAAGCCGCTCTTGGACTAATGGCTTCGGCGTCGAGATGTCGAAGATGGTCTCGATGGCTTGGTGGTCGGATCCATGGTTTGTGTTGGGTATTGCGCATCTGATTGCCGAGGTGATCAGGTCCTCGGACGCGAGAACTAGATCAATCGTTGTCTCCTGGTCACGTCGTTGCCAGGTTTTTGTGCCTCTGGGCAAAAGGCTACTCAATGCGAGGGAGCTCATTAATTCGATGATCCTGTCCCCTTCGCCTTGCCTTTCCAGTGCAACATCCTCCCCGCCCCAGAGTTGATCATGACGGTTGAAGTCGCCCATGATCACCACGTCCACTACTTCGCCCGTGCCCTGCCTGGTTTTCTCGATTACCTCCTGCAGGACTGCACATGCGTCCCGTAGCGCTTGGTCGTCAAATCCCTGTACGTAAACCGAGAAGACAAGGATTTGGCGCCCTGGAAGCCGCAGCAGTACCGCTGTTGTATCGGCAGACTCAACCGGTACCTGCTCCGCATCCAGATCGTTCCGTACGAAAAGCATACTCCGGATCGCCCACCTGCCCTCGTTATACAACGGCGGGACCATCTTCGTCCACCGGTGATGCCCCATGGGGGTAGTTAGTAGCCGCCCGTTTATCACCCTCGCATGCGGTTCCTGGATTGCCAGCACCCCTGCATCCTCAATATCTGTGTCGTTCAGTAGGCTGTCAAGGACCGGGCCCTTTTTCGCCACATTCAGTTGTATCATTCGGAGTACGTTATTCATGATCAGACGGGTAGAGCTTCTTGCAGTTCCTGCTGAACGATTCGTGTGGCCCGTCACAGAGTACGCACTTGTAGACAGTCTCGTTGCAGGCGCTGTGGTGGTGGCCCTCTTTGGCGCATTTACCGCAGATTCGACTCTTCTCGCACTGGAATGCTTTATGCCCAACTTGCTGATAGTTGTAGCACTGCTCTGGGCGCGGTCGTCGCTCGAAGGAACCCGTGTATCCCGACTCTCCTCCAGCATAGAAGAAGCCTTCCGAAAGCAGTCGTTTGGCGTCTGATCCCTTGGTAACGTAAACGGCCATGGAACCGTATGCCTTCGGAGTGTCTCGCTTGCTGAGCCACGCAATCTTCGCAACTTGGACATCATTTTCCTTGCTGAAAGCCTCGATGGCGCCAGCTCTAATGTCGCCCATCTCGTCTAGTACCGCTATGCGATTGACGTGGTCGACCTTGACCGGGTAGAGCTCATCGCGTAACAGCCGAGCGCCATGGGGAAGCTTGGCTCCCACCACCTGTTTCACCATGTTGTGTTCGTTCTCGTCGCGACAGGCGATCCGAATACGGTTCGGTTTCTTGGGATCTTTTATGACAGCACGGCATCGCCAGTTGGAAAAACCTTGCTCCGCTCGGATCTCGGTCTCCGCCATAGTGCGGATGGCACCCGCGGTGACTTGATCATCTTGACCGTCTGCGATCCGCGACGTGTCAATGGTGCAGTAGAAAGTGTCGGTGAAGTTTGAAGGTGTTGTGTTTCCGGTCGAAAGGGTTCGTATGTTGCTGGGCTCAGAAGATGGCGCTGAGCGCGCGACTTCAGCGTAAGATAGTTGTGGGGATTCTGAAACATGTGTCGTGATGGCTTCGAGTTGCTCGCGAAGGTGCAGCAACTCTGCGCCCATTTGTGTTCGCATTTGTTCCATTTTGTTGTTCATTTCTCGATTATTGTCGTCCAGCTTCTGGCTCAGTTCCTGGATCGTATCCTGCTGAACTTTGATGACTTCGTGAAGGCTGTGAAACTTCTCACTGTACTCGCCCAGCATCTCCAGAGCCTGCCGGAGCATTGCTCTTCCATCGTTACTGCTGTCCACAGCTCGCTTTGCAGCATTCGCTCGTTCCGCGTCATTGTCAATCGGTGTTGCTCGAGCGGACTGTCGTGTGGTACGCTTGGGCTCCTTTTCGGTTTCTTCAAGCTGTCGCGCTGCGTCGCGCACCTTCATCGTGGGCCCCCCCACGCGTCGTTTTGGCGTCGCGGGGTAATCGGCCCCGCCCACCATTGCGTCCACGTCCGCGTCCACCATGATGGATTACCACCCTACACTCGTCTAGGCACGGCGTTGCCGATGTGGCATAAACCCTGGCAGGTCATCACTCCGATCGCCCTGTTTTGAGTCGCCTCCCGGTAGTCTAAGGAGTCGTCCTGGGGCTCCCATAGGAAATACCAGCTATCCCCTCGCCCTTGAGCCAGCTCTCGGGTACATCTCAAGGTTCTCACCGATTCAAGTATCCTCGACTTACATTATCAGCGGCAAAGCGAGCAAAGTATATCCATCGTCCAACTCTATCAGTTGGCTCCGAACTGAACTACATGGACGAAAGTGCCTGGAGAAAAGCGGATCAAGAATATTGTAAGTTCATTCATCATGTCTGGTACAGGGCTGACAACGTGGCTAGATGAGAAATCACGAGGCGAAATGTTTGATGAAGTTCGCTGGAAGCTGCGGACGGACATCGAATATGCTCGCCAACAAGAGACAGAGCAGCGCAGCAAGTTAAAGAAGTATATAGTCGAGCGAGTGCAAGATATGATGATGCCGCTTCAGGCCAGATTGGGGCGCCCACAGCACCGTGACGGAAGTTACCACCGACGCAGAACTCTGAGGCGGGGTGGGTGACCCGGAGGACAACACCAACATCTGGTAGGGTTGATTCGTGCTATATAGTCAATTGAACCCTTGGCACGTCATGAAGAAAGGCCACAGAGATGTCATGAAGGATTGAAAGCCTGCCACCGAGGTGTGAACCGTGACGCCGTGAAAGAGAACCCCCGGCCCTGGACCCGATTGCCGTCTCGGTACTCATCATCGCCACCGCCGCAGTCCACCCGTCTTCGTCTCGCTCGAAGGTGGCACCGATGAGCTGTGCCTGACGGCCAGATAATCCGCTTGCAAAATGTGAATGAGCCCAATGACGTCGCTACTTAGATGATCGCTGCCGTCGGTGCGCGCCTTTCTTCGCCTGGCTGGACAGTTGCGTCGCCCAGAACGATCGTCCTGATTTAGGGCATTGCCAGTAGAAGCACTGTGTTCCATCTATCGTTTGTTCCAACCAGTCTTCTAACTTTGTCTTTACTTCTTCCTGCTCTGCATTCTTGAAGCATATCTTCCCTCTGCGTGCATATGTCTCCACCCAGTGTGACTCGCCCGTGCTGGACAACAATTGTGCTGTCTGTGCATAAGGTTGGACGACTTGCCTTGTGTCAGCACCTTTTCCCTCCGTCGAAGGGAGAGTCCTCTTAGACTTGGTAGGCGGACTGAGTGACTGCCTGGAACGCTTAGAACGCAGGGTCTTAGTGTCGAAAGACGTGAAACTGGACGCGAAACTCAATGACGGGTCATCATGGTCCCGAGGTCCCGGGTCCTGGCTCAGGATTTGGGAGTCTTCCTCCGCCACCAGGTACCCGGGCATGGCCGTTGTTTCGGCTTCGCCTTGGGGAAGCCGACCTTCGCCGTCGGCGATTAGCTGCTGAAGCACGTTGTCGGCATCTTGCCAAGCACCACGCTCTGAGGGGTCTGCTGATTCGAAAGCTTCAAGCTGCGCAGATGCTGAGGTCTCTTCGTATGCCACAGTGACGGCTACATTGTCCACTGTAGTCGCCGGAGCTGCTCTTCTATTTGCGGCCTGAATAAAGGCGCCGCGATATCGTTCTGCCATTTCTCGGGCGTTCCTGAAGGCGGTGGCGCCTCGCCGGAAGGAGTCAATGTTACCGGTCATTCCCCAGGTGTCAAGTTGGGTCATGTGGTACTCCGGCCGCCCTTCGACAGTGCTTGGCGCTGTGGCGTGATGGGTGTAGAGCTTGAGCGTGCCATCGTGGTAAGTGGAGCTGAACGTGTATGCATTGCCATCATATGTTGGCTTAGCCTCCCCATAGTTTTGCAAGGCGTGCATGGCACGCGCTCCATATGCTCCATCATAGCATGCCTGTCTCCCTGCTACATCAGCACCGCCACTGGGGGCCTTTGCTTCCATGAAGAGGTTTGGTGCTATTGGGACATTGGCGTGCTTGGTGGGGATGGCAGTTGATTGGAGATGCTGATTCTTCCTAAGTTCTTGGCTGAGATCTTGCAGACGTGCTCCGTCGAAAAAGTCGGGCTTCGGCTTCACGGCCGTGTCATCTGTGATGGGCTCAAGCTCGGTAAAGAGGACGTTCTGTTTGCTGTGGATGACCGATGTGCCGCATAGCCGAGGAACCAGTGTCGCCATAACATCAGACTCGAAAACTACGTCCTCATTGTGCCGCTGGAATGTCTCAAAGGCTCCATCGGAAAATTTGGATGGGGATAATGACGCTCTTTCTTTGGCCAGTTCACTCTGGATATCCTTCACGTTGTTTGGTTTCGATCTCCGATTGTTCATATACACACCATTGTCGGCAAGGTGTGCTTCGAAGTTCTTATCGTACGCGGACGATTTTCTGCTTCTGGGGGTGACACTGGTTGCTCCCGTTGACTCCGTCTGTCGACTGCGGGGGTTCGTAGATGATGGAGTTGACGACATAACGGCAATGGGTCGCGGTGCTTGGAACTAGAACCTGTTAGACCACGCTTGAGGCTGACAACGGGCACCTACTCCTCGGAGGTGGCGAAGATCAGGCCCGCCGTGTCTTGCGAAGCGAGCGATGTCCTTGGCAACCACTTCTTCGGAGGCTGCAGGAGTCGGCAAATGTTGCCGCTCTTCGTTCCGCCGGTCAATCTCTCGCAAAGCAAGACATGTAAGGGACACCTTTGAGAGGTTGTCCCAAAATGACGGGGCAAACGGTGTCGCTCTGTGCCTTCTCGTGAACTTGCACCTCTTCGCCGGAGGGCTGGTTTCGGTGGGAAGGTCTGTGTGCCGCTTGCGCTTGTACGCGCCCGCCATGGGCGAATGCAGTGCAGGAGTGTGATTGATCTGAGCCATCGGTAAGCCTTGGTCGGGACAGACGGCCTCGTTTTAACATGCGCAGGCGCTGTCATGTGAGGCGACAATGATTGGGTCGGGATGCGCTGTCCACCCGATTGCTTGGACGCGGAGTCAGAGCGCTTCGTAACTCGGACAACTGCAGGCCAGCCGTTAGTCGTCCGGCCTGCATGCAGGAGGGTGTTATCGTTTCATGAGCCGCACCATCATGGGAGGCAAGCGAGGTGAGCACTTGTACCTAATGTTGGGCCGACCGTGCACGAAGGTGGCAGGAGTGCTGGGCGTGATGTACCCCATGGAACGCGTGTTTACGCGGGGCACCATCAGGTGGCATCAGCGGCTCCGGATAAATAGTGGGCCGGGTCGCCGGCACATCCCGCCTCCCCTGACTCCAGCTGATCCACCATTGACGCCCTCCAGAGCCGCCGCGTGTCGCCGGCTTTCGCGAGCGGCAGGATGAAGGTATGAAGCACAGCCCGAGACAAACAACGCGCAGAATCCAGTATCTTATTGCGTACAGCCCATAATCGTCAATGGAAGGTATCAAGTCAAGTCTAAGCTTGGCGAGGGCGGGTTCGGTCTCGTCTATGACGGTATCGCCGCCGGCCCCTCCAAGTGGCTCCTGTTCACGCTGGGCTAACTCGGGCAGGCGATGACATCTTGTCGAATGAAGAGGTCGCGATAAAGCTTGTGCACAGACGTGACGACCCAAGGATCCTCGAAGACGAAGCAAGCATCTACAGAGCACTCGCAGGAGGGCCCGGCATACCACAAGTTTTTTGGTACGGACAGCAGGATGACTACTATGTGTTGGTCCAGGAACTTCTCGGGCCCTCACTCGAAGACTTGTTCAACTTCTGCGGCCGTCGGTTCTCGCTCAAGACAGTACTTCTCGTCGCTGACCAGGCCATCTCGCGGATCAAGTACATCCACGACAAGCACTACTTGCATCATGACATCAAGCCGGACAATTTTCTGATGGGCGTCGGGAGGCGAGGGAACGTGCTATATACGATTGACTTTGGTCTAGCGCAGGAGTTCTCCGGCCTGGCTTCAGAGGGGCGCAGTCACGGCCGCACCCTTCGATACGCCAGCATCAACAACCACAACAAACGCAGTGAGTATCCATCAAACTACAGCCCTCCGCAGTTTTCTTATGATCGTTTCAGAACAGTCGTGGTGTGATGACTTGGAGTCACTTGGATACGTCCTCTTGTACTTCATTCGTGGTTCCCTGCCTTGGCAAGGCTGCAAAGCGGCAAGCGAGGAAGAGAAGGACGATTTGATCAAAGACATGAAGACAAACAGTTCACCACGCAGCCTATGCGAGGGATTACCAGAAGAATTTGCCACATATCTTGGGTACGTTCGCTCGCTGGGCTTCGAAGACAGGCCAGACTATGCGTACCTTCATCGCCTCTTCAATCGCCTGTTTGTATCCCTCGAGTTCAAGCACGACAACGTGTTCGACTGGACAGAGAAGCGATTCAACGAACTGCACGGTCTCGTTGCCGCGTCATAGTCAACAACAGTCACCGCAACCGAGAATGGAAGAGAGAGTGACATGTATTTGCCGGCATTGTCTGGTTGAGAAATACACACAAACCAGCCGCATATACTCCTGCTGTATGTTCACGGGGTGATGTTGGGTCGTTGTGGAAGGAGTGTCTCCCTTGTCGGCAGCTGTAGTTGACACGCCAATGAGCTCTACGTCTCGATTTCGCCGTGTCCGCCGTTGGTGACGTATCTGTCAAGCATGACTGTGACCAGATCGCTGGCGACACACCCTCCCAGCGGGACCTTCCCCAGCATGAAGTGGCAGGGTGCCCCTCGTCCGACGCAGGTGACACGCCATCGGGCAGGTTGATTGCCACGTATAAAGCCGGGCGGGCGCCCTGCGACCCCTCCTCGAAACCCTCCTCTTTCACTGCTCTTGATCCTGACTCGTCGGTGCCAAAACATTGTCCGGATAAGCCAGACGACCGGAGAAACTCCAGCGACGATGCACCAAACGATACACGGTCCGAGCGACGAAGACGGCCTCCAGAGTGCTGCAGACTGCCTCGCGGGAGCGAAGAAGGTCGTGGTTCTGATGGGCGCCGGCGTCAGCACAGCTGCACATATTCCGGTAGGCATGCAGTCTGAAGGCCAGGACGTGGCTGACTTATCCAGGACTTCCGGTCGAGCAGGGGCCTCTACAAGAATGGAGAGGTCTTCTCCGAGAGTGCCACGCGTTCCCCGGAGGGGCGTGCTCGTCTGCTCAAGGTCGCATTGGAACTACGTCAGAAAGCCCGCATTGCGAGACCGACGCAGACACATCGCCTGCTCGACACTTTGCGCATCCGAGGCCAACTTCTTCGGTGCTACACGCAGAATATCGACATGCTGGAAGAAAAAGCAGGACTGTCCGTCGGCGTCGAACCTGGATACAACTGTGTCCCGCTTCACGGTTCCCTGCGTCACCTTCGCTGCCCTTCTTGCTGCGGCCTCTTTAGTAATTGGGCCGACTATGACGCGTTCATCACGGCTGGAGATGCTGTGTTGTGCCCATCCTGCGCCGCCGCTTGCCAGGCAAGAGTAGGTGCTGGGAAAAGGCGCAGCCATATCGGTCACCTCTTGCCAGATATTGTGTTGCTAGACGGCGAACATCGAGATGGTGAGGCAATTGGAAGCATCATCGCCAAGGATGTGGCCGCAGGGCCTGATTTCCTTCTCGTTCTGGGCACAAGCCTTCGGGCTCATGGTCCGAAACGACTCGCTTGCAGGCTTGCGAAAGCTGTGTCTGATCGGCACGGGACAGTCGTTTACGTCGACTTGTCCAAGAGGTGTTCATGGAGCAGGCGAGTTGACTTTCATGTGCGTATGCCTTGTGATGAATGGGTCGAAGACTTGAAGAGGAGGATATCTGTGTTCCACGATGGCTCGGCAGAGGATCCTGTTATTATCGATTGGGTGCGATTTCCTTCGGAAGACGCTTGACAGTTCTCTTTCGACCGCTGGAGGCAGCTTCTCCTATAGAGGTAGTGGCAGACAACAAGCTGTGGGCTAGGCATGCCAGTGATGGCCGTCGCTGAGGTTCGCACGGACGGGTAGGGAGACTCTTCGCCATTAGTCCTTATTTAGTCATTGGTGATGCCAGCCAATGTGCTAGCAATGTGCTAGTCCACGGGATCGGCAAAAGTGCCAATTCATTGTGACAGCTTCAAGCAGGTCTCATTGAGTGGTGGACAAGAGACAATGAACCGCGATATAAACCCTGATCGGCGACCTTTGACAACGGATCAGCTCGGTGTTGAGGCGGCGAAAGAGCGTGATAGCTGTTGAAATATTTGCTCTCTTTCTGGGTAAATATTTGCGGTGGCGTCAAATCTCGTAGAACTACGCCACCGAGGCAGCTAGCTTTTACAATCAAGCCTGCGGCAACATTTCAACTGGTTATGAGCCCGGACGCATCTGTTGCGCACCCACATTCAGCCTGAGCAGGCTTCCGTCCTGGCTACGATAAGACCAGTCCAACAAGAGCGCACACACCTCAGCGACAGCGGAAGCACAGTTCACATACCCCACGAAATGATCGACGCAAAGCGAATACCAGAGCCGGTGTCAGAGCCACAGAGCCAGAGCCAGAGAGCCAGAGCCAGAGGGCCAGAGCCAGAGAGCCAGAGCCAGAGAGCCACTTTTAGAGGGTTAGAGCCAGAGCTACGGTCGGGGCTATTGCGGAAGGGTTTAGTCAGGGGGAGCAGCGCCACGAGGGTGTTGGTCCTTGCCCGAGATCTCAGGCTTGAGCGGGAGAGTCTCCCAGTTGAAGCTCCAGTTGAAGAGATCATGGGATCCTTTGGGAGTGCCACAGCCGTTCGGGTCAGTGGCCCAGGGGGAGAGTTGGATCCCATCGGTAATGTTAGCAAAGTCGCGGTCTATGCTTTCCCAGGTGAGGACAGGCCTCGGATCCACATACCGAGACCCGTGTGGGCTCCTACTCGTAAAAACACACAGTAGGTGCCTGTAAACTGCCTAGGCTCTCAAAATCATGATTGATCTCATTTATCCATCACCATACGGGCCAGATGCCGGTCAAAGCACGGCAGCAGACGACATGAAGATCGACTGTGAGCTGCGATTCAATAGCAGCAATCTCCAGGGGGCTCAAAAATGACGGTCGCTGATACCGCCGTTGCAGCAGCGGAGAACGAAAAGGTGTCCGCCGTGTTCGCGCCCACCAGCAATGCAACGGCAGCCGATGACTCGGACATGAGACGTCAGGAGAAGTGGGAGCACAACAAGCTCTCAGACGACGCCGCCATTGAAGCTACGAGGGCGTACCTTCAACAGAGGTTCGCCCGTCGTAGGCTTCCACGGAAAGACGGCCGGCACCATATCGTATACGGCGGAGTTTCCAGTCGTCGCCGCTCGACGTATAAGCACCGACCAGCGGCGTCTGAACAGGCCGATGAACGACAAATGGCTCTCATGGTGCGGATGATTCGGGATCTGGAGGTAGTCGAGCCTGGCAGGAGCACACCAGCCCTGGGGCCATCTGGCTGTCGAAGGCGTCGCGCGAGCATTTGAGGCTCTCCGGAGTTTGACAGCTCCTGCGTAGCCTCCTATCACATCCCCTCGATTTCTTGTCGGTAAAGAACTTGAGCAGAGTTAGCAAATGCACTTCGGTTCATTCTATGCCCCATCCTGAGTTGACAAAGTAGCCGCTGCTCCGTAGGAGCGAAAGTCAGCCCAAGCCATGTTGAGAGCTATCTCCGCCATGAAATGCAGATGCCGGGCGGAAGATGGCCGCAAGTCATCTTGTGCAACACCTCGTGTCACCGATCAAATCCTGGTCCAACCCTGATCATCACAGTCACCTCTGTGTCCAAGCTGACCGGCATCACCCAATGAGAAGCTCATGACGCGTACTGCACCACGGGTGTATGTGGATGCGACGGTCATCCGCTGCGGCGATATGGCGAGAATCGTCCGATCGGAGCGTTATATGAGCCCGTGACGCACGACGTGTCCTTCATATTGCTGGCAGCGCGTTGGCCAGTCAGTCGTCCATCGCCGTGCGGCGCAATCGCCCGAGTAGTGTCTGTCGATACCGAGAAGGGGCATGAAGTTCGACAGAATCGATATTGTTCGAGTCGGGCAAGCGGCGGGACCATCGAGCGCTTGCAATGGGCGACGCCCAAATATCTCCCGGTGGCGACCCTCACTGAACTTGAGCCAGCATGCTTCGTACGTTCAACGGGAAGCTTCCACGAGCTTTGTTGACGCGCTCTGGGGTGAGGTTGGCGACGGCAAGATCGTGAGCGTGGCTTGACGCCGATGGTTGACGGAGGCGCGACCCAATTTGTGAGGCGAGGCCAATGAAATGCAGCCATCCAACGTGGCTGCCAACCGCCCCTCCCTCTGCGCTGTAGAGACGCCTGGGGAACCCAGCTCGCCCCGCTGGGTTCCTTGCGCACTAGATGAACTTGTCCCGACCGTTTGCCGCGAACCCGCCGTTCCCGCACCGTCTGTGTGCCCCAACCCGGTGCGTTGCCGCTATTTATTTCACAGGTGCTTGCAAACCACAAGTTCGAGGCCAGCTACACTGCAAATTGTCGCACTGATGCACCGCCAGGACCGCATCCGGCACCACACATGCCACACCTTGCCCCTCCCAATAGGTCGGTCCCGCCGACCGCCCAAACTACTAGTAAACCTCGCGTGCCACCTTCGCGCAAATCCTGTCGATCGACGGCCACAAACATCCCACCCCATGCGGGAAGCCTGCCGCCTGGAGCCCAGTCACCACGTGCATCGCCTCGTCTGAGAGGCGGGCCGCCTTGTTCTCCGCCGTCGAGCAGGCCGACAGGTAGAATACGTGGGAGCCAGCCAGGAGCAATTCCGACACCTGTCGCACCGTCAGCTGGTCCTGCCTCAGCTGTTGACCGACTTGTATCTGCAAAATCAAGCCGCTGTTGGACAGGTCCACATGGTCCGTCGAGCCATGACAAGCAAAGTGTACGATAGAGCAGTATCGCATCTTGTCAAATGGCCTGAGCCACGCTCGGCGGGTTTAGTGATTGTACAGGCATTTTCCCCTGCCACCAGCTTTATGGCGAGCTGCTCCTCTATTATGACACCACGAAGGTCACACCGTGGGCCCGTGTCCGAGTATGGCGCGGCCGGGGCGGTCGGGAGTGAGCTCTTCGCTATACGAGCCCGAAGACGGGGATATCCAAGAGTTTTGATGGATGAGGTGTACGATGAGACTGCCTTACTGAATGCATTCTCTGTAGAACACGAAGAATGCACCCCGGGCGGCATGGAACGGCATCGAGCTGCCGAGGCCGGTCGGTACCCATCATATCTGAGGCAGCGCGTCTGGCGTGCGGTTTGTGTCAACTGGGTCGAGAACCGGCTTGACACACGCATCTGGCAGCCAAACAAGGTACTCGAGTTACTCCCTGTCCTTCTCCGCCCGCTCTGTCCCCGCGCACTTCCCGGCCCCTCCACTTCTTGCGCAGCCAGGCCCTTGCCTCAGACGCGAGCAATCGTGACGGGCCAGGCGTGCGAATGGCGGTTAAGTTCTACCAGCCCAATAACACCACTCCAGGTCCCAGAGTACTCCTGAGGTGCATGGCGTGGCTTGCGCTTCCAGTGGCTTGAGTCTACCCTTCTAGCTTGGGGTGCAACCACCCGTCACACTGTCAGCCTTTGGTGCATAGCGGACGCATGCTTGTCGTTTTCTGACGTCCACTCATACTCGCCATGACCAGCGTGCTATGCCTTTCCGCTGACTGCAGGAGTAATAATCATTTCATTTGTCGGGTGCGTCGGTCGGCATCCGCGGCGAATGGCTGAGCCCATTCTCACAAGCGTGGTCATCCCGACGCCACTCATGGCAGTTCGCTATCGTCTTGATTTGTGTGGCGGTATGAATGATACTGGGCATACCGGCAAAAGGAATTTTCGGTGTACCATGTCAAAATCTATTGACATACTTCAGCGAGCCACTGCCTGTCAACAAATTCGGCCAGTCAGTTGCTTTCAAGTTCGTAGAACTATGCGGTAGACCAAGTTCTATGCGCGGCCAATTGCTGCCCTTTGAACGTTATCAACATCGCGTAGGTGTCAGCCATATGTCTCACCGCTGGACGTAACCGTCA